GGTCTGATGAGTTCCCCATTGCGGCGCCATTACAATACATCTGATTTCTTTCACCTATCAAACACAAAACGCGAGATTAGAGTGGATTACGGTACAAAATTAAAGTTGGAGTGGATTTACATTTTAATATATGAAATAATTTAGCAATTACCTGAGGGTTGTCAGGTGGACTGATGCCGTACAAATAACCAGCTATCTGGGCTCGCAGATCGGAAATGGTGACAAATTTCTTCAGTACGTTCTTAGGCAAGATGTAAGTGTAGCCGGTCTCCTTGATGTCGTCGGACGAAACGTAGATGTGATTCGTTCTGAGATGGAGATTGGTCGCGGAGATAGCACGTACTCGCCATTCGGTCTTCGAGCTGAAGGTCTGCGTCTCGTAGTTGGATGTAGTCGCGGTGATGATCTCGTCACCGTGCTTGTTCACCGTTCGCGTGGTGGTAGCGGTCAGCTGACTCTGTTCTTTAGTCTGCTTCTCGATCTCGGCGATCTGTTGCCGTTGCGCGGACGGCGCGCTTATCTCCATGCCCAGAATGATGTCGCGGATCTCAGATTGCGTGAGCGACGCGACATTGACGTTGTTCTTCTTGCCGTAGTCCGCCAGGATTAGATCCTTCAGCTGCACTTCCACTTTGATCCATTCGTCGTCCGTCAATGACGGCCATATATGATGCGGCTCGGTGATGGTGGTCTTGTCAGGCTTGAGAACGACCTTGGTCCTCTCGGTGTTGACGTGTAGAGCGCGCAGAATCAGTATCAGTCGCGAGAACGCGGTGTATGACGAAATGGTCTTCAACCAGTCGTCATAAAGATTGAACAGCACCATCTGCGGCTCGGTCGCCTTTAAAATCAGATCTCCAAACTTCTCCACTTTGAGACACGCCTGGAACGGTAACTGCAACTCGGATCCCTTGATGACTATATTGGGGAAGTCCAGCAAGTGCACTTCCAGCGGATCTAACATTCCCTTTCTGGTGACGATAATCTGTTTCGGCTGTTCCTCCACTGGCAGAGAGCGAATCAGCGCAGCGACTTCTTCGGCGGTCTTCCATTTGGCCAACTGACCCAGACGCTTTTGGCCCGCCCATACAGAGGTGTGAATGATCTTCAGAAAGAGTTGTCCCGTGCGCGGATTGAAGATGAAGATCGCGCCGTTTATCGGCTTCGTCGTTAAATTGCCCTCAAAGGTTTTGTGGATCGTCACGCGATACACGTTCGTGTCGTCGACGAACCATATGATCTGATTGGAGAAGAGCTCGCCATAGTTTTGCGAGGAGAGGTAAGGCTCCGTCGGTTCAGACGAGTACAACTGCAACGCCTTGCGGATGCGTTCGCGTAACACATACAAGGCTGGATTTGCCTTCATTATCTTTGCCATCGCTTGCTGGATGAGCGGCTTGCAGCCAGGGAACCAGTTGCCGTAGGCGCTGTGCAAGTTGTATGCCAGATCGATGGCTATGAGGAGGCCGGTGGGTGATGGATAGATGGACATGTTGTCCGTGGTGTAGTCGAGGAATTTCGCACGAGCGTATCGCTCGATGTCGTGTGAATCGTAGTCGCCCCATCTCAGCTGAACGTCGATCCAATACTTTTGCGTGGTCGTGTTATCCATCACGTCTTTGGAATCGGCGAGAAGGGACGGCCGAGACACGTTCCATTTGTAGGCGGAGAAGAGTAGAATGTCGGCGCACGAGGAGTTCATCTTGTAAGACTTTCGCGGATGTATCGTTTCCTTCTGCACGGTCTCGATTTCCAGCGCGTCCAGCTCTTGATCGAACACCTGGCAGAGATCCATCACAATGGACTCGTGCACCTTTTGCCACAAGTGAGCGCGGAATATCTGGATTAACGAAATTTTTAGGGTCGGTATTTTTCCGTGCATGAATATCCCCGTCAGATCGAGCTGCACCTGGAAACCGACGTAAACGTTAGCGCGGTTAATAGTCGGTGACCACCACAGGGTGAATCGACGATTGGGAATCTGGTTGAGACCGGAACGTTGAGCGTTCGTCAGCTTCTTGTATTTCATTGACTCTTCGAAACCGGACGCCTTTTCCCAGAACAGACCTTCCCACGTCGGGAAGTAGGTGCCCTTGAACAAAGTGTGCTCCAGGATGCCTTCGACGCCGCCAAGCGCTTGAATCATGTCAGTTCGATAGTTGTTCAGATTCCACAGTTTGCCGTCGTGACGCTGATGAGTCCACCAGAACGGATTTTGCTTCAACACCTGATATTGTTTGAACTCTGTACGAATACGCCAACCCTTGTCGTAGGCCAGCGTGTGCCGATCCTTCTGGAAGAGCGTATTTATTCTGGGAATACCGCGATCCCAGCTGTCCTCGAGATCTTCCAAGGTAAGCCTGCGATTTTGCGCGTTGGCCTCTTGCCGCTTTAGGGCGTACTCCGCCCAGACGCGTTGAGAATCGATAAACTCCGATTCCCACGGTTGTATGTAACGGTACAAGTTTGGAATCAGTTGATCCTCGTCGTGACTCATGCCCGAACGGAAGTGAGTGATGCCCACGTCAGTTTGCTTCGACCATCTCAAGTCTGACTGTGGTATTAATACGTGGCCCATCGACAGCATTCCTAGACCGCCCAATTCCTTGGGCGTATAAAAGACGACAGGTGGAAAACGCGACGGCATTTTCGAATTCAGCCCGATTTTGATACGTGTCTGGATTTTATTTTCGCACTTGACTAGCAGATCCAGCAACTCTTGCGTGTTCACCACCGCCTCTCTGAAATAAGTCATTAAACCGATTAGCGCCGTATTCCACTTGTTCACGATTTTCGTGAAAGTGGTCGAGCCCGAAGCCATCAAGATCTGTCTGACGCGATTGTGGAAACGCTGCAAGCTCTCGTCGTCGACACGCAAGAAGCACTGCGCCGTTCTTTCCTTTGTGATTTCGTTCTGGAGATTCCAGACGCCGTCCCGATGCGTAAACTCCTCGTGTGTTGTTCTGCACTTGGGCAGAATTCTGCATTCAAAGCCGCTCATATTGAACAACAAATTGGGATTGTCCTTGCTGTAGACGCTGACAAAACTGTTTTCCCACTGAATAGTGGTGGTGGAGCGTGGTAGTCGATTCTTGATGTCCCAGAAAACGGCGCGACCCAGGTTCACGTCGTGCTTCATCAGCCTCATACGGGCGTCTCGCGGCCAACACTTCTTATTGTTGTAGCCGACGATGTTCTCGTTGTTCGGATCAGGATGCTCAGTGAGATAACGCTGGATAAGATCTCTCGCTTCGTCGGCAGAGAAGCGCAGGAATAGATGTATTCTGTCGACGTAGCGGCAGTACAATCGAATAGGATGCGCCGTTTCGGAAGCGACGTCCTGGAACGTCAAGAAATCGTTTGGCATTTGCGGCGGACCAGCCATCTCGCTGGCTCGTTGGAGACCCAGCACCAGTAGATCTAGTACCAGTCCGTAGTATTGGGCGATGAAAGATGCGAATTGCAGTCCCCTGATAATGCCATAACTGTTGGTGTGATTCATGTCTTTGTAATTGATGACCACGTTGTTCTTCGCAGTCATATAATCGGCGATATTATGATCGACTATCAGGCGTAACAATCTGTTGAGCAGCGTAAGATCGATCTTCTCGTACAGCTTCTCAAATTTCGATTCGAGCAACACGTTGCATTCACCCTCACCGACGTCCCACACATCCTGGAGATTGTTGATACCTTGGCACCACTTGTAAACGAGAAGCGGTGGCGGTTCCGTGTCGGCTGGTTTCACCCACGGTGGGAACAGTCGCCTCTTGTCCGCCTCGTACCACAGATATTGATCGAGGTAAGCATCCGTGATCTTTTCGAGCGGCTCCACATCGTACACAGGAATCAAATGACTGTAAAGATCCATGAATTCGATGCCAACTTCCTTGAAGGCCCTCTGCGTGAGCAAATGTCTCTTGATCCTGGATAGTGCCTCGTGTGGGTTGTCATACGCTTGTTCTATCAAGCCCAGCTCTTCTCGTTGACTTTGATTTAATCTGGATTTAACGCTATAGGCTTCCTTCAAGCGTTCCAGAGCCAATATCAGCAGCTTCGTATCGTGCTTGTAGGATAGCGGTGGGAAGGGTATCGGCGCGAATCTTCGGGACTCCAGCCAATGCACCGAAGTAGTGAATATGGCCACAGCTTCCTCCGGCGATATGTATGGACCGTCCTTCAAGTAATTGTGTTGTCGTTCTTGCTCAGCTTTCAAGTAAAGACGCGTCAAACGGCCAAGATTCTTCTTGCATACAGTTTTATCCACCGTGGCGCCGCGCCGAATTCTCTCTCGATTGTAATGAGCCGTGTTCGTCCACCAGTCGGCTTTCATCTTGACGTAACGCAATATCATGTTCTCGATCGGAATTGGCAAGCCTGGCACCTTCCATGGAATATTCGCCTTCCAGCAACGCCAGGCCTCGCTCAGATGTTGAAGGATAGTTCGCGCCTTGTTTTGTTTTATTCCCTCAGGCATCATGTCCACTATGTCATGCATGACGGATGCTCGTAATTCGAGATCGAAGTGCGACTCAACTCGCTGCTTCGTCACCGTTTTTGCCACACCCTTCGAGTGACGACCTTCAAATTGTCTTGATAATAGATTACCGAGCCATCTTTCCAACAGCGGAGTGATGCCTCTCATGAAGAACAACCAGACGCGCCAGCCAGGTGCCCAGAACCCGCAGCCGGGACCTTTGCCGACTGGGCCGGTATTGAAACGATAATAAATCAGATGTTTCAAGTCCTTGCACATCCTGATCTGCCGCATCAATTTGTACTTGTACCGATACATGCCGGTCAACTGACCGACGTGTGCGAAGATATATTGCAACCCGTCAGCGAGCTGAAAAGCGTCTACGTTGTTCAGTCGATATTGAACGTGAGAATCGATAATGAGCTTGGTCAAACGAAGAATCTCACGACACAGATGGAAAGCGTTACCAAAGCGCGATTTCTTTCTCTCTTTTGTTGTAAGCGTCTTGACAGGTTTCAAGTTGAAATTGTAATCCAAGTGGAGATAGTTAAGGTTCTTCCGGTGTATCAGCAGATTCAACATGTTATATCCTTGACGACACACCTGCAGACCGGCTTCCACCCAGTCTATCGTCGTTGTTTGGAAAAACTTGGTCGACTTGAACGAACGGAATAAATAGCGTTTCTTCTGCGGTTTCGGTGGCCTGTGCTTCAGAGCGTTCAGCACAAAGTATTTCAGCAATTTCTGGTAACTGACTCGCACTTTGACGGGTTGCCCAGGCGGACAATGCTCCCTGTACCACGACTTGACTAATGGGATGTCGATGGCTCTTCTCGTTCTACCGGAACGTGTGTTAAATGGTCTTGGGGCCCATAGAAGCGCTATTCCATTTGCCGTGTTATCGGTGTAAAGAGGTGTCTCCTGAAGGAACGGTTGCACCTCGCCAGGTAAAACAAAGTCTTCATCGTCCTCGATTTGCGGTTCTACCGTCTGCAACAAATTAATTAAATTAATTAATATGATACTTATCTAATTTGAAAATTAAAAACTTACTTTCAGTGAATTCCTATGAGAGATCGGATTGATTAATGGATCGAAATAGAATGCAGGCAAGTCTGGATCTTCAGTTTTTATGTACACGACATTTGGTGCATGATACCTGTAAACGATATATTAATTAATCAAAACATGTACAACATGTAAAACTGCATAAGATTAATATTTTTATTTGAAAAAATTATAGTTCTGTAAGTGACATCAGCGGTTCCTTTTTGCGATCTTCAAAAAAGATACGAATAACAATCACTAGACTTTCTTTACCACACTGCTAGTAAGATCTTTATATACTAACACAAAGATCTCAAAACTAGTGTGGAATATGTAAAAATTTAACAATAGAAATATATAAAAAGATGTATACTACTATGACTCACCACGAAAGATGCACAAAATGAGGCATGTTGTTGTACAAGTAGGGAAACGCAATCCTATATTCTGTCCTGATAGGTTGTCTGATAATGATTTTATTTATGTCATTAAACTCGTTCCAATCTTCATCAGCAGCATTCGAATCCTTTACCAATGGTTCGAATTTCGGTCCTCCAGGGATAGCCATATTCAGGGCTTTTGCGGTGAAGAATGACTTCGGGTCAAACAGGTAAAAGAAATTTTGATCTACCAAGTCGGTCAACAATTGGTTAGCCAAGCGGTACAGAGTGGCCATTTGGGGTAGCGTCAAGTTCCATCTTCGGTATGTGGATCCATTAACATGTCTGCAATACATTTTATCATTCAGATTCTATATTGCGTATGCAGTGAAAAAATTATATTCACAGGAATGTCTTTTCAGCACAGCATTTCTCCAACTGGATCGCTTTTATATCAATCTCAATGATATGCGGCAATCCAGTTGTCAACTCACATGTCCAGTTGATTTCAGGACCCCTACGCTTCTCATCATTGAAGAGCAAATAGGCCGATACAACAGGTGCTTACGAAGAGGCGCTCGGGGTTAGGTTTTGGTATAGTGCACGTAACAAATGCTATACCAAATTCTGACTCTGAGCGCATTCCGAGCGCTTCTTTGTAAGCACCCAATGTGTCAAACAAATATAATTTTTTTTCCTTATAATCGTCTGTATGCGAAAACAACTTACTTTGTCCCGACTAAGGGCTTGTGTTCGTAAAACCATGACGCCACGGACTCGTCTTCCTCCGAATCGAGTTCGATTTGTATAGCTTCCAACGGTTCCACATCCAGAACGTTGTCCGCGTAATCTAGAGGAGGCTCTTCGTCATCAAAGGGTGGGAATCTCATTCTTTTGAAATGTCTACGATCTCTTTTCTCTCGTCTCATCATGATCCACATGGTGCTGAAGAAAAGTCAGAATTTTCAATACGAATATTTTACATAGTATTAAACAACGACAAGATTGTTCGTGCCTTACCCCCATTGAGCTATGTACACAGGTTCTATAACCCAAGGAATCTCATTGACGAACGTAATGGCTCCAGTAATATGATACAAGACCTTTACGTCCCTTATTTGTTCCCACGGCATAGGCATATTCTCCAACAACTTCATAACGGCATGTGGCATATACTTCAATGCCCTGCAATATAAATATATTTCGTAGAGATCTTAATTACACAGCTTTCCATACCAACTTACCCCAAGTAAACGCGCTTGTCATGTCGGTATTTTCTACTGCTCATATCGCCATGATCCCTGATGATCTTCCTTATATGCTCAGCTGGCATATCTTCCTTCTGAGCGTCTACGAATCCAAACTTCCTCTTCTCCGCAAACCGCTTCGATTGTAACTGTTGCCATTTTTGTGCTGGAGCAAACAAGATTGTCATCGTGAAAAAAATGTAAGGTAATCATCATGACGATTGAACGTTACCTTTCTCCTGAAGCTTGTCTTCGGACAGGACTTCTGGCTGCTTAGGCATCTGAGGCAATGGCGGTCCAGCTATATGAGCCTGCATATGAGCATGATGGGCAGCTTGCGCATGGGCCGCAGCCTGAGCGTGCACCTGGGCCGCTATCTGCGCCTGCTGCTGGGCGGCCATCATCGTGGCCCATGGACCCGGGGGCAGCAAATACGGCGGGATAGACATGATTGCAGGTGTTTCCCAGCTGAAAAATACACAAGACTCAATTAACTTTTTTTCGATATAAGCCGTTCGTCACTGTATGCAGACGCGGTCAAGTATCTCGGATGAGCCGTAAACTTCGAAGTACGGCGTTGAAAACACGGATCAATCGCAAGCGTAATTTCTACCGCCGGATCTTGGAACATGTCCGACCGCACGGAAGAGATACATGTGTACAAACAATAGTACTAGTCAATACTTGATAACAAAGAGACTGTACGTACAACTTCTTACGATATTAGTTGATTAATTCCTGCGTGACGCCATGCTGTGTAAAATCAATTTGTCGTTTGATTGATCACTTTACACCAAGTCGGCTCTTTTTCACAAGAAACGGCAACGCAATGGGCAATGGCCGGCTTCGATGGCTTCGATCTCTCTTTCTTACGACTGTGTTCGAAAACATCGAGAGGGAAAACTGACAGAGACGCACCGCTTCTTCTCTAGGAGTAGAAGAACCAATGGGCGCGTTCACCGCTTTGATAGTAATCAAACGTGATTGGCTTTTAAGCTGGCCACACACACTTTCCGTAGAACGTAATAGTAAGGTTTCGACCAATCGCATTCCGCGTTCAGCAGACCAAGCCTCTCAGCAGCAGTTGAACGTGATTGGCTCTTACTTTTAGAACCAACCAATCAACGCAGAGCGTTGATAAGACGAACTCAACAGTTGTGTCTGCTGAACGCGGCCATTGCTCGATTCGGCCGTCTGTAAAGGCCTTTCCCTCTACAAGAGGGGAATAGTCGACTCTGATTGGTGGATTTGAACAGTTTAAATTGTCAAATTTTATATTGCCAAGATAGCTATATAAATACAATAGTAAAATGTTTAATAATAAGCGTGTTAAAACATTAGAACATTCAACTCTAATTATCTTGACATATATAATTTTTAAAACAAGATAAAATCTTCATTCATTAATTATTATTAATACTAATTATTTAAGATGTGACAGAAATGCTAGGAAATAATATTTTAAGGTATACTTTTCATTGTTATGCTAATGAATATAATAAAGTAAGTATAAATTGGCAGAATTCTTTAATAATTTGTCCAAAAATATAGCATTACAAAAAAATCATTGAATTATTTGGGATTGAATTATTGTAGCATGTAACATAAAACAAATAATATTTCAAAATATTGTTTTACAATCATCGAGACTGATTCACATAGCAAGGAGTATAATATATATGGTTACATTTTGTGTGTACTTGTAAAATATTTTACAAGTTTTAACATAATATATATTCTGTCCTCTATCAAATATATTATATATTTGTCAGGTCGTTTGATATCGTTCAACACAAACATTTTTCCATACGCAATTAAAGTATACAGAATATCTTCCCAAACCATTTCGTACATTATACGGATGCGTATGTCAGATGGTGATATTATCGTATTACTGAACGAGCGTGTAATAATTTGTAGAAACTACTTTTGCAATTTTTTGCAACATACATTTACCTCTTTTTGATATTTCTTCTCTATCAGAACCAATTTAGACAACGTCTTGATATCCTTGGGCGTAATTGTCTGATTCCTAATCCGTCTTTCCATTTCGTCTGCTGCATTCATCATATGTGGTACTTTAAAAGCCCGAGCCTTTCTTATAAGATCTACCGTTGTTTTAATTTTTAATTCTTTTAATCTCTTTTCGTATTTTTTCGTCAAACATGGTATTTGTACCATGTTATTCACATTTATGTTCTGTTTATTTTTGAATAGATTAGGTTCGATTTTTACTTCGCTCGTTGATAATTGACTTTCGTTTCTTTCATAATCTTTTAGCGACACGGGCTCGATATTTAATGGCATAATAATTTTAGAATCCTGCATAGGAGAATATATTGTTATCTCATCGCAATTTCGATCCGTTGTTTTGATCGTCTCAAGCGGAATATTGTTCATATTTTGTCCCTCAACTAACATTTCGTTATTCTGTTGATTAATTGCGGAATAATTGTCGAAATTGATGTTCTGTGGGACGCAAGATGCCGTGGATGAGGAATATACATTGTTTCCTTGGTCACGTACCGTTATCTCCTGCTGCATCTGCTGTGAATTTTTCTTATTCTTCCTCTTCTCCTCCAACCTGATGCGACGTAACATCTGCTGTACGCTTACCGATGTGTGAGGTACAAATAGCTGATTGTAAAGCAGAATAAGTCTAAGATAAGTGGAAGTGTCAAGTCTTTTGCCCATCAGATGTCGATTCGATTCGAATTCCCTCATCATACGTTGAAACATATGTACTAAACTATTTGATCGATTATTTGATTTAGATTCCGTATTGGCAATCATCAGAAGCCTGGTTTGCAATTGCAACAACTTTTTTCGCGACTGATTATATATTTTTGTATTCTTTTCGTGTTGTACCAACTTAATTTTCTCATCGTTTATACAACTATAAATCCATTGCGGATCATTCATTCCTCCTATATGTTCGGCATTAAATGTGAAACGCATTTCCTTGAGTTGCAGCAGTCTTGAATTCAGTAAGTTATACATCTTTATAGGATTTATAGGTGGAGTAGTCACGTCTATCCCATAATCTTTCTCTTCATCTCGGAGGTTAAGCCAATACCTCAACAATTCATACAACTCCTCTATATATTCTTTCATTCCTAGTAAGCGTAATTGTAGATTCCGACGGTCTGTAAAGCCTATCTTCACTTCAAACTCTATTGGTTTCTCAAGCAATGTGTTAAGAAAAACCGGAGCTGCAACCTTGCGGCTTACTAAACTGTTTAACTGTTTAAAAGGTTTTCTGTTACAAAAATACATATTATTAAGATTTTTCAAAATCATCCGCGCGTCCTGGTGATTTTTGTTGCGAAAATAACCATAGGAATATATAATGTCAATAAATGCTACGTTATATACTTTGGTTTGTGTGGGCTTCGTTCTTACGGCCCAAATATTCATTACCACAGCGTCCACAACTTCTTTTGGTAAAATATAAAAATTAATACGTGATGATAACGTGTCTATATTGGCAGAAGGTTCCACGTCTTCGGTTCTTACATCAGAATCTTGCAAATCTATGAGCGGCGGTTCCGGTTTTGGTGGAATAGGTACTTCACATATGGATTCTTCAGAGTCAGAATTGTCTTCATCTTTCTCGGTTTGTTTGGCTACACATTCTCCACATTCTTCACATTTCGAAAC